GGGGGAGGCATTGCTAATCCTTTGTTATTGAGATTTAAATATATTCCACGTGTCGTCACGAAAAATGGAAGACAAGTTAAGGGTTGTTCTGGCAGAGAATAATTATAATGGTCATCAACTGAAAACTAAGTGCTGTCGGTATTGTAAGTGTTGTCCTGATCTCAGCTCACTGATTATCCTGTACCTTCACATTGCTTTGTGGGATGAAACTAGTAAACTTTAGCCCTTCATAAGGGGGTTATTTGATAACGTACACATCTCCGGGTTCTCTATTCTCTGTGTGGCCACCCTTAAGTCGCCGTGCCTTCATACATGAAAGGTATCTTAAACGTATAATTTTTAAAATGAGGAGTTGAAATTTAACTTGCATCTCATTTTGCCTTCGGACCGGATGAGCAGCATGTACGTTTACATGTACAGATGTAGGCTGTTTTTCCTTTGTGTTGCAAGAGCAGAATTCTTGCTATTTTCGAGTTGTTGTTAAAATTTCCCTCTGTTCCAAGGTCCTGGTTTTATAACTGCGTCGCTATGTACATGCTGTTTTTTCTAATATATTTTGCATAAAGTCCCATGCCATCGCTTGAAGTTAGTTATGTAACCCCTTCGCAATGCAAAGTTAATTTGTGCTTCACCAGGCACAACATTTTGGTTTTTGAACTAGGAAGTAGTTGTTCATCAATAAACGATTTCACAAACTCACCAGCCGATCGTGAATTCCATTATTTTTTATGCCCACCCACTCGAATGATTATTATTCCTATCCCTTCCTCCTACTCCTCCCCCTCCACCCTCTCCCCCTCCCATTCCCGCTTCCCCTCCCATTCCCCCTCCCCTCCCCCTCTCCATTTCTACTCCCTCTCCCAGTCCCTCCCCCTCTCCCTCCCATTCTCAATCCCCTGCTAATTCCCACACCCACTCCCATTTCCACTTCCCCTCCCATTCCCACACCTCCATTCCCATTTCACTTGAACTAGGAAAATAGTTGTTCAGAATAATATTCGTGAATAGCATCAAACCTCAAGCAACACATCTTTTCATTTGATTTAAAACTCTCTCTCTCTCTCTCTCTCTCTCTCTCTCTCTCTCACTCTCTCTCTAACTCTCTCTCTCCCTCTCCCCCTCTCCCACCCTCTCTCTCTCTTTGTCTCACACACTCTCTCTCACCCCCTCTCTCTCCACACTCTTTCGGTCTGTTCCCTTGTCTCTCTCGCTATCCCTTGTTCCCATTTTGTCTCCCACCTTCGCTTTCTCTTTCCTCCCTTCCTTCCTTTCTCCCTTCCTTCTTTCTCGTTTTCTCTCTCTTTCTTTCTCTCTCTATCTCTGTGTAGGGTTCACCCTCAGTACGGTACATCTATTTCTCTTTCACACTTTCTTTCGTTCCTCACAGCTCTCCCTACCTATTCCATCTGTCTGTTTCGTCTCCTCTTACCCCTCTATGTACATCTCTCTCTCTCTCTCTCTCTCTCTCTCTCTCTTTCTCTCTCTCTCTCTCTCTCTCTCTCTCTCCCTCTCCA